CATGGCTAATAAAAGTGGATGACCTCACAATAAAAAATGAGAAAGATAAAGAACTAATCAGATGAACTAAAAGGAATAAATTAAACAGCACAGAAAGTACCTCTATATGCGAAAAACCATCATGTTCTGTTGTAGTTATTGATCCAAGCATATTGTAGCACAAGAAGCGCCTTTTTCCAGCTTGTGATGGAGTAGCACCTGACTGAAAAGGTTCCTGCATCTTTGGCTTGGTAGATGCGATTGTGCTCCTTACCTCATCATTTCTCCTAGCTGGATTTTCCTTTTGCAAATGATGTGTCTTTTTCTGGGATTTAGTCTTTGAAGGCCAGCTTTCCTCATCATCAACATCCATGTCTAGGTCTTCATCTAGTACAGATTGTTTACGCAATCTTTTTCTGCTTGGTGGCTCAGATTCACCAAGGCTATCTTCACCATGTTCGCTTAAGCTGCCAGAACCACTAGGCTCAGGATCCTCCTCATCAAACAGAAGAAGCCCATTGCTGTTTTTTAAACGTGAGCTCGGAATACCTTCTGTAGGCGATGTCATTGATGATGGAACAACTGATTCCCAAATTCCATACCTTCCCATAACATCAATAAGAGCCAGTGCATTTCCAATTGGCTTCCATGCCATACAACATATTCGATCATCAAATTTCTGCCTGTCAATATCCTGCTTCTTACCAACATTCCAGATCAAAACCTGTCTATCCAAACTAGAAGTGGCCATGTACTTGCCATTAGGTGACCAAGAGAAGAAACAGATAGGCTGTGCATGATCACCCCTCATAGAGAACAGCTTCTCAGCCGTATCTCTATCATACATCACTAAATCATTTTTCAAACCAGGGACAGCTAAGGTTTCACCATCAGGGCTCCAGCTTACTATGTTTGTGATGGCAGTATCAAAACCAGTGTCTGGAGCTACACCTTTAAGTGTATGTAACATTATTCCAGACTGGAGTTCCCAATAAATCACAGTCCCAACTGAATCAATTGATGCCAAATATTCACCATTAGGGTCAAAATCCAAGCCAGTCACAGGCCCCCTGTGTCCTTTCAGAACCCTTGCAATTGAACCATCAATAGAATTAATAAGTTTAATCCCTTCATCATCACCAGCAGCTGCCAACATGCTCCCTGATTTATTAAATGCAACCACACGTATTGGCAGGGTGAATCGGGTTATATTTGTCTGAAACTCTCCACCTGATGCAAAAAGAAAGTGTTAAATGTCAATCAAACTACAATGCTAAAACTGCAACAGACCAAGACCAACACAGACATTGCATAAGACTGAATCATATGGATAAATTCTTAGGAATTTCATAAATAAAAAGATAAGCAGAAAGATGGACTTATGAATCAAAGTAATTTTAGCCAGGAAATAGCAAGCTTCCTTTTTGCTGTTCCAAGTAGTTGACTACCTCAAAGTTTGGGCTATATATATTACAATTTAGCACCCAAATTCCACACTCAAGTTTATAGCTTTCAGAATGGCACACTTGCAATAATTTCTAGAGAAAATCATGAATTAATTAACACATATGATATTACATGTACAAAGGAGGGAAGAGCAAAATAAGTAACCAGAAAAAACAATAACAAAAGTCCATAAACTGAGACTCATAACATCAATGAGCAAGTCAACAAATTAAATTGCTCAACCCATATGCCATGCATCTTGAAAAACACAGAAATGCAAGCAGCTTGGAAAAAGATGCTGAAAATGCATGTACGGAAGCTAGTTCAGACTGAGAAGTCGAAAGAGTAAAACACATGAGATTAGACAAAAGAAATCATACAAATATTCTGAACAGTATGATTTATACAGTTCAAAACTATCATCTAAGGGGTTTGAAAACAGAGACCCTGAAGTAAACTATCATCCCTGATTAAATTTTTAATCAAAATCAGATTGACACCATCAAAATAGAAAAGATGCAAACCGCAAGAAAGGCAAAATCCAAATTGGAGGTTCCAAATTACTCTTGCCGTCCTCTCGCCCAGGGGACAAGGAAATTAACCATACAATGTTCATTCCAAATACAACAACATTTCAACATTTCACACCTCAAAATCAAATACCCATTTAGTTCCTAGCCGAAGAAACCGACCCAACAAGATTAAAACGCCTGAAGTAAGGCGAAGACAGCAACAACTAGGAAAATCAGTGGACAATTGAAACGAACAATACTTGGAAACTTGTAGAGCTTGACGGAGTGGTCGACGGAGCCAGAGGCAAGGCATGTGGAATTGGGGCTGAGAGCCAAGGCCGTGACGCCGTCACGGTGATGGCGGAGGATCTTGGGCGCATTGGAAGGAATAAGATGGTCGTGGATTGAAATGCCGGGGTCCGATGAGGAGGCCGTGACCAGGTGCTCAGCTTTCTGATCCCACAAGACTGAACAGAAAGAGGCGCCACCATTCGCCGCAGCTTTGTGAGCTTCCCTCAACTTCAAAGCTCTCACTTTCATGGCGAATTATGGGGTTTTAAGATTTTGGAAATATGAGGTTGATCTCCGTGGTTAGGGTTCTTTGTGGGACTGGTTTGGCTTCGCCATTTCTGATCCTTTAATTTTTTCCGTTCTTCGATGATTGTTGGCGGGAAACTCAAGGGGTTTTCAGATTTCGCGGGTTTTCGCCAAATGATTGGGAGCAAGAGCCTTGCTGCTTTGAGTTTTGGGCCTTGGGACTCGGCCCATTAGGAGTTTTGGGCCGAGGAAATTTTAATTTCCAGCTATCAACTTGTAGCCCAAGTTTGGCGCATTATTTGAAGTGGGAAAACTTTGTAATTTATTAAAAAAAATATATATCTATAAATCTAAAATTGTAATATAAATTAAAAAATTAAAATTGCAAGTTACATTTACCTCAATTTCGTATTTATTATAAACGGTATATTATTTTGTTTATAAAATTCAATACATTTTGATAATTATATATTACATGTATATATATAAATTATAACAAAGTCTCGTACCCATAAAACTTGTAAAATTTATTTTTCACTAAAATATACGTAAAAAATGATAAAATTATAAGCATATATACACTATATATATATATAGATACACACACATTCATAAACATCATATGTTATGTATGTCTTTCCTTTTTCTAGGAAACAAGTTCTCTAGATAAGTTTTTTACCCTTCTTTTCAAGAAAAAAAAAAGCATTTGTTGTCCATTATGTTTGAACAATTAGTAATTAGTGACTATTATATATATATATATATATATATATACACACACACTTGCAGCTGCCGTCTCTATAGGTCAAAGACTGAACTTAGATACCTTTGAAGATTATTAAAGCTGCAAAAATTGCACTTTCTCACTGTTCAATCATTTAAGATACCAAATGGAATTATTACTGTAATCTTCTAAACACTAAATGGAGGATGTACATGTGTGTGTATATATATATATATATATATTACAAATAGAGAGCGAAAGAGAGTAAATTGACAGTACTCAAATATTCATATGTGTGTGTGTACATATATATATATATGATAGCCAGCTAGCGGCCATTAATGGATATAAAGCTAGCTGCTAGCTCTCACCTAGAACTATGGATGATGCACCTGAACTGATGCATTTTAAGGTTTTTTTTTTTTTTATATTTTTATTGTTTATCGTGATTTTTCATATTAATTTATTAACTTTATAAATTTAATTACAATTAAAGAAAACTACAAATAATAATTTAAAAAAAAAATAAAGCGATTAAGTGAAAAAATATTTTAATTAAAAAAAAACATAAATGATACAAATTAACTTCTGTAACATGCATACATACAGAATAAATCTCCTAGCTAACCCTAATTTAAAAAAGGAAACAAGAGTTCACAAAATTGGAAACTCTTCTCAGTTGATGAGAGAGTTTCATAATTAACAAAAAAAAAAAAATTACTAGCTACCCAGTACTCAGTTATTTCTGGGTTGATGAGATTTTGGGACATGATAATCAGCACTGAAAGCTGTAAATTCTCCTTTACTTTTCACCTTCCTCCCACCTGGTTGACTGTATAATTTACCACTTCTCAGTTTACAGTCTACCTTCAACGCTATTCTACTCGTCGTCATCTTCACCATCATCATTCTTCCCCCTGCAAGCCGCACGGCTTTCCTAACTCCGTCTGTGCCAACTGTGTGATTATAATGGGATTCCTGAACCATATATACACGCGCATATATATATACAAGCACAGTTATATTACATATAATTAATCATAACAAGTTCAACAATTATATGTACACACACAGATAAATATATAAATATAGGATAAAGCAATCATATGGATATGATTGTACCTTCTCCACGGCAGCAGAGTGTCTTAGGTGTAGAAAAATGAGAAGCAGTAGTACTAGAAAGCTGGTAGACGTATTTACGAAGTAGACCATTTTCTTCTTTCTGGGTATGTTCTTATGTGTATATTTGTGTGTGTATATGTGTATGTGTGTGTATTCAGCAACGGAAAGAGAGGGTGGGAGAGACCGGGGTCTTAATATATATATATATGTATATATGATTATTAAATGTAAGACAGTCAAACCTAAGTCAGACCTAGGGTTTCAACACTAATTACTTTGCGTCTTTTCTCTCAATGAGATGTTAATATATAATCAGCTTATAGGGAGTCTAACTATATATTTATATGTATATAGTTCAAAGCTTGAACCTGAAAGTTGAAATATATATATATATATATAAATTGGGAAGCAAGTAGGTAGGGTTGCATCTCGAAGTGTTGAGATTAAACTTTTTCAGATGGCGTGCTGTAGAGAAGATATTGGTGTTCAGTGCTTGTCTGCCGCCATGCATGCGACTAGAAGACTTTCTTTTCGGTGGTAAACTTTCATGTTGATTCATTTAATAGCGGTCTGTTCTCATTCATATTCACATACATGTATATATATATATGTGATGTATGTATATAGTCTGTTCTCATTGAGCTTTTTTTTGTTTTTATTTTTTTCCCATGTTCTTGATTCTCTTTTGAATGAATATATATGAACTGATAATAACAGTCATGAAAATATTCAATCAAAAAAAGTGTAGCTGTTATAAGGATGTTTTTCAGAAACCAAAAGAATATATATATATACAGAAACATGATTTTTGTTCTTGTGTTTTTATAGTTTGTACTCACCCATTTGTACGAGAAAAGAAGATGAACATCATGGATTTGGAGATTCTAAATATACACATATTATATATATATATATATACACACACACTATATTATTTATTTTAATATAAAAAAGTACAACGTCACGTGCAGGCTCTTCAGTTTACCTATATATACATATACATATATATAATATCATCCTTAAAAAACGAAAAAAAGCCATATACAATGCTGACATTTCAACAGACCATTATATATCATGTTCATATTATTTTATTTATTACATAGCAATGTGTGAGTCTAGCTTAGCTTTTGACCCACTTATTTTTGTCGGTTTTGTAAAATAAATTATTAATTAATTCTTATAAATTATAAACTAATAATAATAAATTTGTTTTTTTTTTTAATAATTAAAAACGTTTCTAATTTAGCTCTATGTACTCAGGTCATATAAAATTATAATTTTTTTTTTAAACCTTATACTAATTTCTTGATATCAGAAAATTAAATTATTTGTAACATATTCTTAATGGGTCATTTCGTGTATGAATCGTGTGTGTGAGATTTTGAGTTTGGTTCCATATATTTATTCAATATTAAATTAAATAATTAATTAAACTGATTATCTTAAAATTTTAAATTATTATGAAATAATTTAATTATTTATTTAAATTATAATATCAATAAATCTAATTAAAATTCATACAAATAATCTTGGGCTGGAACTGATATAAGCCCGAGTTAATAATTATTAACGTTTAAAGTATGGTTTATCCAAATTAAAATTTTCTCTTTATAACTTAATTTAATTGTAATTCAGTCCGGATTTTAATTAAATCATTAACAAATCACTATTTTACTGCAATAATTTGTGTAATCGTATTAACTAATTAGTTAATTAAGTAAATTTACAATATTAATTAATAATCAGAAATCGTATTAAATTTGCCTTTGAAATTCTTTATCTCCCATCAAACTCTTCTTTTCCTGTTTGCCGTTCCCATCAAAAAAACTTACTATTATTATTCTTAGTGTAATGAATTAGAAGTCAATGCCTTTTCTCAAATATAGTCAACATCACCGATTACTCCTGCGCGTAAGCCATGACGTCAGCTTACATCTTCTCACCTATATCAACCCCAATCCAATCTACTATTACAATAATGGTTTTTACCAATGTCGAACGCCGGAGCTCACATCTCGCTCTATCCGTTCCCCACCTCCGGCCACATCATCCCACTCCTGGACCTCGCCGACCGCTTACTCACCCATGGTTTAAACGTCACCGTTTTTATCACCCCCAAGAACCGTGCTTTACTCGATCCACTACTCTCCGCCCACTCATCTTCCCCCTCCCTCCACCCACTGCTTCTCCCATCTCCAGAAATCTCGCCCTCCTTCTCACCGGCTAAAAGGCTTGTTTCCATGCTACGAACCTTGCGCGATCTTCACTACCCTTTACTTCTCGATTGGTTCCAATCCCACCCTTCGCCCCCCGTCGCAATTGTTTCAGATTTCTTCCTCGGCTGGACCCAGGAGCTGGCTGCTAAACTCGGCGTGCGACGCATCGTGTTCTCGCCTTCCGGTGCTCTTGCTGCTTCGGTTTATCAGGCACTTTGGCACGACCAACCTTCAATTGATGAACATTCTCAGATATCCTTTCCAGGGATCCCGAATTCACCCAAATATTATTGGTATCAAATCTCTCACACGTACAGAGATTTAACAAGAGGAGACCCTGACTGGGAATTCAGCAAGGAGAACACGAAGTTTAACTTGTTGAGTTGGGGGTACGTGTTCAACTCGTTCAGTGAGATAGAACGAGTCTATTTGGATCACTTGAAACAAAAAATGGGTCATGACAGAGTCTGGGCTGTTGGTCCACTTCTCCCATCCGATGTCAACATCGCACCGACCAACCGTGGTGGGACCAGTTCAGTCGCAGTCGACACAGTTCTGACATGGCTCGACGAGCGTGGTGATAACACCGTAATCTACATCTGCTTCGGGAGCCGCACCGTGCTGACAAGCAAGCAGGTTGAAGTGCTGGCCGCCGCGCTGGAGAAGAGCCAGGTTCACTTCATCTGGTGCGTCGCCCTACAACCGGCCGACGGCGACGGAGCCATGCCTGAGGGTTTCGAGCAGCGGTTGGCGGGGAAAGGATTACTAATCAAAGGGTGGGCCCCGCAGGTGGCCATTCTGAGACACAGAGCGGTGGGTTCTTTTCTAACTCACTGCGGGTGGAATTCCACGCTGGAAGGAATTTCTGCTGGAGTAGTGATGCTGACGTGGCCAATGGGTGCCGACCAGTTCACGAACGCGAACCTGCTAGCAGATGAGTTGGAGGTGGCTATTCGAGTTGGTGAGTCAACTCAGATTATTGCAGAGTCGAATGAGTTGGCTCGGGTATTGACCGAGTCGTTAGATAGGAACAGGACAGAGAAGATACGAGTCGAAAAGCTTCGGAATACGGCGGTTCGTGCGGTTAACGGAGGAAGTTCGGAGAATGAACTGAGTCAATTCGTTAAAAAGATAAATGAGTTGCGCGTAGCTAAAGGATAATTGACTGGTTGCCAGATTGCCTTCCACACACTGCAATTAAATTATTTGTATTCTTGTCGACATATTATATTTTAGTGGATTATTTTCTTAATTAATTAATTAATGGATTTAATTTACATTAAAAAAATATATCATTATAATTATCAATATGTAAAAATATAGTAATAAAAAATTAAACTGAATTTACCTATTAAAAAATATATAAACAAATAATTAATCTATTAAAAAAATTACTACCTCACTAATTCTTAATTACTAAAATTAAGAAAATAATTATTGTATAGTTAAAATATAACTACTAAATGATTAAGTTATTACTATTCTACCACGGTTAACATTAAGTAGTTATTAATCAATGACTAACAATTCTTAATCATGTAATAAAATTTCAGCACAATAATCCTGTTTTTAACTAATTAATTAATGAAGTTAGCTTATGTAAAAAATAATAAATAAAAATAATATTATTTTAATTACTGAAATCTCTTATATTTTTCAATCCAAATATTTATGTGCACAACTTATTTTTTTTTTATATATATCTTAGAAGAAAATATATTCTTGATTATTATTAATCTTGCGAAACAATATCGAACCAATAAATTAAATGTTAAAATATTAAAATTTATCATTTAATATTAAAATATGATCAAATTTCATATTCAAATTTAATCATATATTTTTAAACTTATACTAAATTTTATCACATATAATAATAATATAAACAAGTTATATATAACTATATAACAATAACATAATGTTCACATGGACTACTTTATTATCTAATGGTCAATTATTATTGCATAAAATGTTTTAATATATGTATATATAATATTTGATAATAGACATTTACTCAATTCTATCTACTACTAAATCATTTGAAAACCGTATCGAAACAAGCTTTAAAAAATTGATAATCCGACCCACTAATGAGAAGCTTATAATTGAAGTAACTATATAGTTATAGTATAATAATTCATACTCGAGGAGTCATATTGAAATTACCATGCTCATTTTTTGTGTTCCATCAAAATCATTTTGTCTAATTTGGCGTCCCAACAAAATCATACGGCTCTTGTTGGAAGAGCGTTGCATATTGTCTATTAATATTAATAATTGTAGCAACATTTGTTTGCCTCGTAATTGGGTCGCATACATGACATGTTTTAATTAACTTAAACAATTAGACTCGCTTAAATTGAATGATTATTGGGTAAAAGTTAATTAATTTATAATTAGTAACAAATCGGTTTTATAATTAGTTTCGTGCTTATAATTTTAGATTAGGTTGTGAGTTACGATAATCGAAAGTATAAACTCAAATGGGTATTTATGGTCTGACCGAAAATTTTAGCTTATTATTATTTTTCAATCAAATCTCACGTGTCAATAGTCAATGCATTTTTCTTACATCTTCCTTTATAAAACTAATTTCAACACTCAGTAATTTTCCTTCACAAATTCATTTTGTCTTTTCTCGATATTACAAAGAAAACAAAAACACACACACGTCGAACGCCGGAGCACACATCTCGCTTTATCCTTTCCCTTCCTCCGCCCACGTCATCCCACTCGTAGATCTCGTTGACCGTTTACTTACCCACGACTTAAACGTCACCGTTTTCGTCACCTCTAAGGACAGTTAAGAGAAGTAAAAGATTTATTTTTAGAGTTTTTCAAGTGAAAATCAAGCGGGACACTTCATAGCTTTGTTTTCTATGTATTTTGATAACAGGGGATTACAAATTTACAGAGCATGAGCTGCTCTTTTAAATAAAGTAGATCGTCACTAAAGGGGAAACAAACAAAGAAGACAACTTTATAGAAAATTAAAATGGAAAGTGCATAAAGTAAAAAGGCAATGCAGAGAAAATCAAGGAAGAAGCGACGATCACGATTTTCCTTTATGCAGTTGTCGGCCATGCGTTCTTTGTCTTAAAGATGAGTGCTGAGTTGGATGGTTGACTAGGATAGTTTGCTGATCTTGACAAATTTGCACGCTTTGTTGCTTTAGGTTGCTGATGGTGGCAATCACATAACAGAGCAACATTCTTCACAAGGACCGAGTTTTGCTCGACCCATTACTCTCTACCCACTTATCTTCCTCCTCCCTCCACCCACTACTTTTCCCACCACCTGAAAACTCACCCTTCTTTTCACCAGCCAAGGGGCTCATTTCCATGCTACAAACCTCACGCAATCTTCACTACCATTTTCTTCTCGATTGATTCCAGTCCCACCCTTCGCCTTCTGTCGCTATTGTTTCCGATTTCTTCCTTGGATGGACCCAGGAGCTGGCTTCCAAACTCGGCATGCCATGTCTTGTCTTTTCGCCTTCTAGTGCTCTTGCTTGTTTGGTTTCTCCCGCATTGTGGCACGACCAACCCTCGAAGGATGAACACTCTCAGGTCTCGCTTCCGGGCTTCCCGAATTCACCCGAATATCATTGGTACCAAATATTTCATATATATGGAGATTTTAAAATAGGATACTTTGAATGGGAATTCTACAGGGAGAACATGAAGAGTAACTTCTTGAGTTGGGGATACGTGTTTAACTCATTCAATGAGCTAGAGAGGATTTATTTAGATCACTTAAAAGAAAAAACAGGTCATGACAGGGTTTGGGTTATTGGTCCACTTTTCCCTCCCAATCTCAACAGCGTCGCACCCACCAACCGCAGTGGTTCCAGCTCCGCCGCCTTCAACAAGGTTCTCACGTGGCTCGACGAGCGTAGCGATAACTCCGTAATCTATATATGCTTCGGGAGCTCTCACCATGCCTACAAGCAAACAGGTTAGAGTGCTGGCTGACGCGCTTGAGAAGAGCCAGGTTCACTTTATCTGGTGCGTCGGCCTACAACCGTCCGACGGCGACGGAGCCATGCCAGAGGGTTTCGAGGGGCGGGTGGCGGGAAAAGGCTTACTAATCAAAGGGTGGTCCTCGCAGCCGGCAATACTGAGACACCGGGCGGCAGGTGTTTTTTTAACTCACTGCGGGTGGAATTCCACGCTGGAAGGAATATCCGCTTGAGTGGTGATGCTGACGTGGCCAATGGGTGCGGACCAGTTCACGAATGCAGAACTTGCCAGTGGATGAGTTGGGGGTGGCGATCCGAGTTGGTGAGGTAACTCAGAGTATTAAAGAATCGAACGAGTTGGCTCGGACATTGACCGAGTCGTCAGACGGCACCAGGCTAGAGAAGACACGAGTCAGAAAAGCTTCGCATGATGAATTGAGTCAATTCGTTAAAAAGATAAACGAGTTGCAAGAACTAAAGAATTTAGGGGTTAAAATACTAAAATTTATCATTTAGTATTAAAACAATAATCAAATTTCATATTCAAGTTTTGTTTAAATTTCACAATCCATTTTTAAGTTCGCAACTAAATTTTATCATATATAATGATAATAACATAAACTACTTATATATATATATATGATAATAATATAACTTTCACGTTGACTGTTTTATTAATTCACCATTATTATTGCATGTAATTTTTCTATATATATATATATATAGTATGTCGGCTGTGCACTTAAATTTATTTCAATTCTCTCTACTACTCAACCTTATTAATAACTCAAACGAGTTTGGAAAAGTTGGTAATCAAATTATATTTTAGTCATCAATTATCCTGAGAACGTTATATAATTCACGTTCGAAAGTCATATTGAAATTATCATATTTGGCTTCTGTATTTTGTGTTTTAATATTTAATAATTGCAGTAACATTGTTTATCTCGAAACTGGGTCACATACATGGCAGGTTTTAATTAATTAAATTAATTAAGCCCGATTAATCCTTGGTTAAAAGTTAATTAATTTTACAATCAGTAACAAGTCAGTCTCATTATTATTTTGGTTCTTATGATTTTAAATTAGGTTGTAGATTAAAGCATTCATAAACTGATTTTGATCTTACAAAAAATGTAATCTTATTATTGTTTTTCAATCAAATCTTATCGTTATAATTAACAACTCCACGTGTCAATACTCAATCCGTCTTCCCACGTTCAATTTTGCCTTCTCTCGACGTCTTATTATTACTCGCCCACGGCTATAAACGTCACCGTTTTTTGTCACCTCAGAGACCGAGCTTTGCTGCACCCACTGCTTCTCCCACCACCTGAACCCTCACCAACTGACGGCCTCATTCCCATACGACGAATCTTGCGCGATCTTCACTACCCTTTTCCTTCTCGATTGGTTCCGATTTCTTCCTCGGATGGACCCAGAGCTGGCTGCTAAACTCGGCGTGCCACGCCTTGTGTTCTCGCCTTCCAGTGCTCTTGCTTGTTTGGTTTCTTATCAGGAGCAAGCAGGTTGAAGAGCTGGCTCCGGCGCTAGATAAGAGTTGGGTTTACTTCATCTGCTGCATTGGCCTACAACCGCCCGACGGCGACGGAGCCATGCCCGAAGGGTTTCGAGAAGCGGGTGGGCTTATTGATCAAACGTGGGCCCCGCATGTTGCGAGTCGAGAACCATTTTCACTATCATAACATAATTCATCCATCTATTATAAATTTATTTTAATATATAAGTTATATTAATATTATCTATAGAACTTTTATTTTTTATTTTTTAATTTTAAAACATAAATTTTATATTAAAAAAATTTTAATTGCTCTGAATTTCCAGCTCCTCAATTTGCTGAACCAGCTTTTCCAGATCACGAGCCGAGCTACCACCATCCTTGATTGCCTTAACCGCAGCATTACGTAATTCCATGGCCTTCTCTCTTTCAACTCGATTCTCACTCAGTAATTCTACAAAATGTCGTGCCAACTCGGTAGAGTCCGGCACGGTTTGGGGACCTTCGCAGACCTTTGTCGCCACCTTAAAGTAGTCCACCAGTAAGGTCGCGTTGGAAAACTGATCAGCCCTCATGGGCCACGCGAGCATCGGAACCCCAGCCACCACCGCTTCGAACACGGAGTTCCACCCGCAGTGAGTCAGAAACGCTCCCACGGCTCGGTGATTCAGTATCGAAACTTGCGGAGCCCATCCTTTGATCACGCGTCCTCTGTCTTCAACCCGATTTTCGAACCCAACCGGAATCACGCCGTCTTTATCGCTGTTTCCGGTTCCTCTTGTCGGATTCTTCACAGACCAAACGAACCGGACCCTACTCTTCTCCAAAGCAGAAGCGAGCGCCGCCATTTGAGAGTTCGTCAACACAGCTTGACTCCCAAAGCAAATGTACACCACTTTGCGATCTTCGCACGAGTCGAGCCATGTCATTAACTCGGGCACTGAAACTGAGCTCGCCCCACCTCTCTGCTTCGGCTCAGATGAACTTTCATCAGCAAGAAGGTGCAATGGACCGACCCCCCAAATCCGATCGTGCCCCAATTCGGCTCTCAAGTGATCCAAATATACCTTCTCCAACTCAGTGAATGTATTGATAACGAGTCCCCAACTCGCCATGTCATCCCAAAATCCTTGCTTGACGAACTCCGAATCAGGGTCTCCTTCGACGTAAGACTGATAGATAGTTGAAACAGAGCGCCAATTAAATTTCGGGGCATTAGGCAACTTGGGGAACGAAATGACTTCCGTTTGATTATCGTGATTCGTCCGCTTAGGCATTTCTCGCCAGAGAGAATATATGATCGACAGCGCAAACGCACCGGAGGGGGAGAAAACGAAGCGGCGGACACCAAGCTCGGTAGCCAAACGGTGAGTCCACCCCAAGAATATGTCAGATATGACGGCACAAGGAGGAGAAGGATGGGTGTTGAACCAGTGAACCAGAGGGTCGTGAAGTTGGCCTAACACGGGCATCATGGTAAAAAAGCTCGTCGCCGGCATATCCTTGGTGTTCTCTGCTCCGGCGGGGATGGAAGGATGAGAAGGGAAAGGGAGAAGAAGGGTTTGGATGGAAGAATGAGAAGCAAGGAGTGGGGATAAGATAGGGAGGTTTTTGGGGGTAACCAGTATGGTTATGGTGAGACCGGAGATGGCGAGTTGTTGTGTGAGGTCTAGGAGTGGTATCATGTGGCCTTGCGCCGGGAACGGAATGACCAGTACGTGTTTATCGTTGACTGGTTTTCCCATGTTTGAAGTCTGCGTTGCAGGTGGAGTCAAAAAGAAGAGGGAAAAGGAGGGCTTGCTTATCTTCTTATAAATCTGACTTTGAGGAGGAGAATTGGGAGAGGACACGGATGTATACGTATGTGTGTGTGTGTGTGTATATGTCTGCGCAGCAATGAAGAGAGAAGTCAATGGATCCACTATAAATTACCAGTCAGAATGCTAATAAATATTTAGTCTATTTATGAATATTTTATTAAATATAATTAATTATAAATAATGTAATTTACGTTTATCTCGTGATTTATTCCATTTTTAATAATATGATTTATTTCTTATTTAAAACTCTAATTTATACTTTTTAACAGATTTATTTCGTTTTTAGTACTTTAATTTATTTTTTCCTTAACATTATTTCCTTTTTAATTCTTTCCCTTTAAGTTATTAATAAAAGTTTAAAATATTGAATTACTTATATTTTTAGTTAAATACGTATATCATTTGAGAATTAATGAGAATGTATATAAGAAATATGTTATACCACTTTTAAATTTTATTTGATAAAATATTTGTCTATGTAACGTCACGACTCTTCTTAAAGTATTGAATGTATTCATATTAATATTTATTAGTTGAATTAATGCCGCATTTAAAATAAATATTTTATATTACATTTTTTGTATATGTGTCCAAAATATACAATCATCGTGATGCATACCTATTATCAGAGTTATAATATCATAATTTAAGATATTAACTTTAAAATTATTTATATATGAGCAAATTCCATCTAGTATAATTCTTATGTATTAGAAGTTTGATCTCGATTGTCATAATAATAATAAAAAAATCATATAAAAGTTATATAAGTTTTAATTGTTCAATAAAGACGTAAATATTATCATTTTATATAATAATCTATTTAAAATTTTATAAAAAAATGAAAACTAACGACATATATAAAAATTTTCAAGAAAACTACATAGTAAATTGCTAGAAAATTTATTATCTTTCAAATTCTTTCTCTACATATTTTTCTAAAGTTTTATTTTTATTTATTTATTTATTATTATTATTATTATTATCATTATTGTCAGACTAATTTAGTATTTTAATTTTTTTTCTTTTATTGTATCTTTATCATTTTCTTAACTAATATTTATTATTTTATTCACATGCATTGTATATTATTTCAATTATTCTTTTCCTTACTATTTATTTCATTCATCACATATATAGACCTCATATTCACATTGTACTTATTAATACGAATACAATTCGTACACACGAATACTTTCCATTTCCATAATTTATTTTAATTTATTTGGATATTTATATTTATTTTAAAGTTTAATCGTGTGATGTAAATCTCTGTTACTACATAAATATTTAGATACCATAATCATAAATCAAATCTTAATTCTACGTAAGGTAATGGGTACCAGTAATCAAATTTCTAACCACCATTCTGGTAGGACTTTCCACGCTGATTGATGTCATATCTACGTTAGATTTCACCATAATTATTAAGTCAAAACTTTTAACGCATAAGTTACGTCTCTTTGATACATGTTAAACATATTTTCTCATCCTATATAATTATTTACATATTTAATTATGGTTATTCCTAAAATTTTTCATTTATTATTTTCTTTATTTTTTTTCCTATATTTATTTTGTTTTAAATTCTCAATTATCTTATTTATTTATAGTCATGTTTCTTTATTATTTTATTTACGTTGTTTATAATTATTGATAATATTATAAGTTTCATTATCTTGATTTTATGTTTCTTTACGTATTATTCATATTCATTCGTTTCTTATTTTCTATTTATTTATAATTTTTTAATTATTTATTTTTTATTACAAGAGGAAAAGGCAAGCACAACAAAGCATAAAAGAAGACACGTCTAAATATGATATATTATAAATTATGATATTCCAATAATGTCTTATTTAATGATGTTCATTATTTTTATATAAAGATATTGTAAATGATATAGTTTGAGACGCGTTAAAAAACTTGATTTACCAAATAATTCACGTACCGATTTTTTTCCTAATATATATATTGTATCTTGACAATCCACTTTTATTTCATTTCCAAAATAATTTTTCACTAAACTATATTATTACTCTAATTGTGTACTTATTCTATCCCATATATACATATATATATATACTACGACGTACACCCATAGAATATACTTATATGTTTACAAATCAATGCATGCATCTACGCAGTTTCATTACACGTATTGGCATTTTTGCATATACTTTCAGAAGGCATCCATGTTTATCTACATTTTTAAAATAAATAATTACAAATAATTAGAAATTATGTAATTTTAATTATCTGATTTAATATTTTAACTATTTTATTAATATTTTAATTTATTTTCTATATTTTTAACATAAGATAACCAACTCAGTTAATAATGGCGGGTGACTGACCTGTTAAGTCGACGTTGTCCCCAACCGGCTATCCGACAAACGCCTCAGATCCCTAACATCCTCTTGTATGTGAAACGGACGGAATTCGTGTTAAAAGCAAATCTGGATTAGGGTTAGGGAATTGGGACATCAAAGAAGGGGATTATAGGTGAGAAGGGAGACAACACAGAGACGAAAGATTACTCTCAAGAGAATTCATCCAGAGTGCTTTTCGATTATCAGCTATTTATATAGAATTTAGACAATAGTCCTATCTAAGTATCTATTAGTTAATTACTTCTTGTTACACTTTCCTATTCTGATTTCGTATTTTGAATTTTCCATACAGCACATCCGCGCGGAATCCGATGCTCGACTATGAGTCTCCGGCAGGAATCCCAGGAACAGCGGCAATCGATGGATAAATCGAGTACCCTGACATGCGGAATATGCTTATCCGATGGAGGAAAATTGATCAGGGGCTTTATTGACAGCTGCGATCATTACTTTTGTTTCGTTTGCATCATGGAGTGGGCTAGGGTCGAGTCCCGGTGCCCCATGTGCAAGTGCAGGTTCACCACCATTCGCCGGCCGCCAAAGCACGGTGTCTTCACCCGCGAACGAGTTGTCAACGTACCTCAACGTGATCAAGTAAAGTACAAGTTTCAACATGTTTTTCTTTGTCTTTTTTTTCAAAAAAATTAAATTACAGTTAGAACTAGTCAGTTGCATGGTTCTGTTTCATAGGATTAAATCGTGGGCCATTTATGGTTTAACTCGAGGAAATCAAGATAGAAAAGTCATTTTTTAAAGTGGGTGTTCTTTATGTGGAAATTGATAAGCTGTTACATGTTTTATTTCCTAAATAAAGAATTGCAATTTTTGTAGGTGCAGCATAAGGTCATTTAGTAGTTTTTTTTTTTGTTTGCTTTAAGAGTCTCTTTGAAATGAGCCTTGACCATAAATTTATAAAATCAAATCCTTTAGATATATATATATATATGTATATTTGGGAGAGGTTTGAGAGTGATTCAGATGGTGTTCTCTTTTAGGCTAATGTGAAAAGAAGGTTGGAGATTGAATAATAGACTCTTATCTAGCGGATGAAAGGAAAAAAACGGTAATGTGAGGTTTACTCACATTTTCCCGGAACAAAATTATATAGCTGATGCTCTTGCAAAACAACGAATGAAGAGACTAGTTAATTTTAAGCTTGACTCTTGGTTTCTTCCGGAATATGATTGATATGAAGC